TAGTTTTTTTATACGGTTAGTTGATTCTAGGTAGATTGTAAGAACATATTTATTGGGATATCTCAATGGCAGGACCGGATCTGAGATTTTGGGGGCTTGAAACAAAAAAAGAAATGAGGACTACTTATTTGATTTTCTAAAAAGAATATTTCAAATAAAAAATATTTCTATGGGCTGGACTGGACTAAAAATTTGGAGGCTAAGACAAATGTTTTAATGGGTTTGGCCCAGATCCGGCCCTACTCAATGGATATCTCAGATTAAAATATAATAAAAAATAAAGGAAAAAAAAACATTTAGAAAAGAAAATATTGAAGATGATCTTCATTTATTCAAATGAGAAGTTTTGAAAACATGAGAATCTCTTGAGAACTCCTTGAGAATCTCTCTTAAAATACATTTCATTTTCTTATTGAACCATACACTTATGTGATTAATCAAATATTTAAAATTTAAAATACCAATTAAATAGTTTATATGTTATTCTTTTTATTTATTATTTTTATATATTAAATAATTTTTAATTACTATTAGTTAAAGTTAATGTAATATAATTTAATAATGTTTTATTAATACAATAATATTAGATTTCAGGCAAAAAAATCTGAGATTTGAAAAATTAAAATCTGATATTAATAACTATAATTTTTATTTTTCCCCTGATATATATATTAAAGTCTGAGATTTGATAATGTGAAATCAGATTTTTGAGACATTACTAATCTAAGATATTATAAATTTTTACAAAATTAATAAATATTATCTAGATGAGATATTTTAATGAATATTTCACCAATAGAGGTAAAAAAATTTGTGATGAGATTCTCAAAAAAAGAAATTTCTTAAAATACTAATATTATATTTATGAGATATTTTTAGAGTATCTCACCAATAGAGATGTTCTAAAGAAAATCTTATATAGATGAAGATCTACATGCCATGGTACAATTAACATATACCTAACCAGCCAAAAAATGGTTCTAGCAATCATTCATTATTCACCATCAATTAAAAGAACATCAAATGAATTTTGTCGATTTTAAATCACCTAATATTTTTATATCGTAGTTATGCAAATTTAGAAAAATATGAATTTTTTTTTTGTATTTTGTGTCAACAGAGGAATATTAACTGAAACTAAATTAAATTAAAATAGGATATTTTGGGGGGTGGGGGAGGGGGGTGGGGAATATATGCTCCATAAAATTCTATTTTTATCCATTTCTAATTAATTTATAGGTATTTTTCTGGACGAAATTTTCTTCTCTTTTTTAAGTAAAAAAAATTCTTTATATACAACGATTAGATGACAGTGTGCATGTGAAGCATTCCATCAAAAAGAAATAAATTAAAAGTGAAAATGGTTAAAGGCGTTAGTGTCACTGGTCTCATCACCTATTTGGTGATTTTCTTAAGTTTGACAGGTATGATTCATTATGATATATTAATCTCGTCAAAGTTTGATTCATTATTGGCGTTTGATTTTCTGAATAGTCTTAGACTGAGTAGTGTGTGTTTTTTTTTCAAATAAATTCATGACCTTAAATATGTGTTTACGAAATTCATTAGCTAATCTAATCTGTAAATGGCAAACGCAAAAGAAAATAAAGCTTCTCCTAGCGTTTAGAATTTGCATATACACTTTAAAAAAATTATTTTAGACCAAAAAGAGTTATGGTTTCAAAAACTAAAAGAACTTAATTATATATATTCTTAATTGTAAACGCAAACATCAATTAAAACCTAATATGATTTGTTAATTTTATATAAATTCAAATATGTGTTTCTATAAAAATGAATATTTTTTACCTATCGATCAATAATGCAATAGGAATATCAAGAGGAAAGACTCCAAGTCGTTATGCAGTGTAGCAGGAGTAGCATACGTGGCGCCTGGAGGTTATTTCAAGGGAATATGCGAAGAAGATTGCAAGCGTGGTGGTGTTTATACAAGAGGCAGATGTGAAGTTAACGAGCAGAAACAACCAGTTTGCTTATGTTTTGCTTGCAAAAATAAGGCGTAGATCTAAGAATATCTTAAAATCTACCTTCAATTTATAACTTAAAAAAAAAAAACTTTTTCGTATTAACAAAAAAAAAAGTTATTCATTATTATCACCATCGATAATAAAAAAGGTAACATGATTTATTGTTTACTTGATCCACCATTGTTTGCAAAACTTACTTTGCGATAGTTCTTAATTAATCCAAATTAACACTCAGCATTGTCATTAACAAGTGATTGTTGTTCCAGACTCCGAGCCAACTGAGATCTGATTGGGTCCTTTAAAGGCACCTATGTGTTCTTACTTTACAGTTTATAGTATTTGGTTTATGAGAACTTGTTCACACACACCCACACGATCTAATTTATCTTCTCTAGTAAAATTTCTTACTCCTATTATTGACTGCGACATTGTCTTATTGATTGCACATTTGCAACTATGTAGCTGAGATTTCTTGACTTGAGTGTTCTATCTTATTAAGCTAGGAAGCTAGTTCATGAATATTGATATATCATGGTTTTTATGGTTTTTAACCAAGGTATAGGTCTTATTTATAGAATATTTTTAGTGTTTTTCGAGGTTTTTGGAGTCTTTACAGGTCATAGGTACGTTTAGAGATTAACTAGAGATTTTGGAGCACTTTCGAGCTAAATCAGGATCAAATTCGTGAAAGATGAATTATGTGCTTTAGTGTCGCTCGACACCATGAAGAGTGACGCTCGACACCGATCGCAGAAATAAGGAAAACGTGATTTTGTCTCCTATTTGAAGGAGTTGGGCCCAAAAGTCTCCAATAATTACAAGGAAGCCCAACACGTGATTTTTAGTATTTATTAGGGTTTTTAACCACCAATATGGATACCTTAGATTTTCTTTGAGAGAGCTTTTGGGGAGACAAGTCTGAAACTCTGTTCCGGAGAGAGAATATTTCGAACCCCTGTTTATTTATCTATTTACTGTTTTCTGCAATCTATTCAAACATGTTCATTGCTTCAATCTCCATGTCTGAGTAGTTTGCTTGTTAGGTTTAGAGTTCTCATAAAGGATTTCATTGGAAGTTGGATTGATTGATTAGTTAGGGTTCATTATCTATTTAGTTCTTCACTATAGGTTGTTCTTAAAGCTAAGTCTGGACTGGCCACCTAGAACTTAGATCATTAGGTTAATTGATTGACACGAAAGTGTAATTGAATAACTGGAAAGAACCTAGGGTGAGCAAAGTAGCTATTCGCAAAAGAATTTGGTTTAGATACTTTGTGAACATATCGAACTTGAGCATTAAAGCTGGTTTAAATCTTTAGGGTTTGCAAAGGAATTTGGAATTCTAGGATTTCAACTTAGATAATTCTCACAACGGAAGTTGGTTAATTATAATTATGTGATTCGAATTCAAGAACCGCGCTTAAACCTGAACCTTGATTAATCGATTGTTCTACATTCATTGATTTCCTGAGAAACGCCCTAGACCTAATATCCATCCATCTGAATCTTACAAACGTTTATAATGCTTCGTTTTATTGCATCATGTTTGCTTCTCATTAATCTGCTTAGCATAATTCAATTTCTAATAGGTTTATTGAGCGAATCTCTCGTCTCTGTGGTTCGACCCCTACATACTACAATTGCACATCTCTGCTCTTGCAGAGTATCTCTAGGGATTAAACTTTGAGCAGATCAAGTTTTGGCGCCGTTGCCGAGGACTTGATTTTCGCCATTAGACTTTAGTTCTTGAGTTTCGACTAAGTTTTTTTTTAGTGTCGCGCGACACCAGTCGTTTTTGTTTAATTTTATTTTTACTTTGTTATTTACATTGCTCTTTCTCTTTTTCTCAGAAACTAGCAGAGACGGAGAACGCATTGGCATTGGTTCGTGATGATGCTGAACTCTGGAGAGACCAAGTTGGTCATGTGTGTAATGAGAGAGGCCAGCGACTTGATGGAGAGGGTAACATCATCACTGGGTGACTACAACAGACCTGAGCAATTCTATGCAAATAGGTCTGCGATTCGCGCTCCTGCATTTCAGAGGAATGACTTTGAGCTCAAACCTGTGTACTACACTCTTGTGGGTCAGCATCCTTTTCATGGTCTTTCTCATGAGCACCCGATGGATCATATAGAGAGGTTTGAGGACTTGGTCACCAGCATTAAATACAATGGAGTGTCCAATGATTACCTTTTCTGCAAGCTGTTTCCTTATTCTCTTGCTGGAGAAGCAGCTAACTGGCTGAAGCAGTTGGAGCCAGGATCATTGACTACTTGGGAGGAGACCAGAAACGCCTTTCTGCATAATTTCTATGATGATGCCAGGTCTGAAGAGTTGAGACTCAAAATCTCAACGTTTTCTAAGGGACCAACTGAGGCGTTCAAAGCTGCTTGGGTGAGATTCAAACCGTACCAGCGAGATTGCCCTCATCATGGTTTCAGCGATGTGCAGATGTTGGGTATTTTCTTCAGGGGTGTTGATTGAAGGTATCGGATGGCTCTTGATGCTGCAAGCAATAAGAACTTCAACACCAGATACCCTGAAAACGCTGTTGTGCTTATTGAGAACTTGGCATCTAGCAATAGTACCAAGAATGCAGACTATCAGCGAATGAAGCAGGCTGGGAACATGGATGGATCGCAGATTGCTGAGGTGAAGGCTAAGCTAGAGTCTAAGCATAGCCTTCTTGTGGGTAAGAAGTATGTCAGATTCTCTATAGATGTTGAGAGTTTTGAACTTGAGGAAGAGGATGTTAACTTCATCAATGGAGCTGGATTTCAAGGTCAGAGATTTGGTACTCAGCAAGGAAACATGAATTACAATGGAAATAATCAGAGGAGTAACTTCACAGGTAATCATAACTCTTCTGGTTACAACTCCAGACCTGATCAGTACCAGACATCCTACTCCAACAACAGTTTTTCAAGGAATTATGGTTCTCCTCCTCCTCAAACTCCAGATAATGAAGTGAAGTCTATGCTAGAACAGATTCTGTAAGGTCAGCAGAAGATGACAGTGGACTTTAATGGGAAGATTGATGCTCTGTATCTGGATCTGAATGGAATAATTGAAGTTCTGAACACTCATGTCAAGAAGCTTGATACTCAGGTTGCTCAGACTGCAGACTCTGTAGAAAGGCAAGAAGGATTCCTTCCTGGAAAGACTGATACCAATCCTAGGCATTACTGCAGTGTCATTTCATTAAGGAGTGGTAAAAAGTTGACTCCTGTGCTTCAAAATGGTGTTTCTGATGATGAAATCGTGGAGTTTGACGAATCTGAAGAAAATTTAAAAACTCAGAGCCAGTGTCGAGCGACACCATCTCTAGTGTCGCGCGACACCACTCGCAGAGCGAAGCTGAAGTTGTTCAGAATCCAAAACCAACAGAAGAAAGAGTCTAAAAACCTAATATTCCTTACCTAAGGAGTCCTAAGAAATCTAAACAGGAGTTAGATGCTGCTAGATGCAAGGCTTTGATGGAGAAGCTTGTGATTGAGATTCTTTTAGTTGATGCTGTGAAGATTAATCCTGTTCTTAGGCGTTATGTGAAGAGGATGGTGACTAATAATCTGAGTCATGAGCAAGGAGTGATGATGATTTCTGAACATGTCAGTGCTGTGATTCAGAATAAGGTTCCAGAGAAGCTCTCGGACCCAGGAAGCTTTGTTTTGGACTGCTCTATTTTCTCGGAGAGGTTCAAGAGATCGCTGTGTGATCTTGGTTCAAGTGTTAACCTAATGCCACACTCTATAGTTGTTAACCTTGGGATGACTGATTTCAAGTCAACTAAGATCTCTTTGATCCTAGCAGATCGATCTAAAAGAATCCCAATAGGTGTCTTGGAAGATGTTCCGACTAAAGTTGGTGATTGCATAATTCCTACAGATTTCGTGGTTCTGGAATATGGAGAGAAACCCAAAGATCCTCTTATCCTGGGAAGATCGTTTTTAGCTACAACTGGAGCAGTAATTGATGTCAAGCATGGTAACCTTGATCTCCACTTGGGAGATACCATCATGACTTTTAAGATGGAGAAGCTGAAGAATTCAACCATAGATGGTCAGACATTCCAAGTCAGTGCAATACTTGAAGTGCTAGTTGGAGAACTGAACGTGTTTCATGCTGAGAAAGTGAAAGATCAACCTGAGTTGACGAAAACATTTACAGAACCAGTGACTGCTGTTGATCAGGAAGCTCAAAACATCTCACTCAATTCATCTCCACCAAAGCAAAGGTACGCACCTCTTGAGCCTAATCCTAATTCTTGTGATATCATCAAAGCTGATTTGAAAGATGCAGACTCTGTCTCACGACGCAAGTTACGAGATTATCGTAGAGCACTTGGTTTTTCCATTGATGATATTGCAGGGAATAGGTTAAAGCCGTCCAAACACAGATCTCACCCTAGTGTTATTCCTGCATTCCTTGGACGACCTTATGCGCACAACGCTTACACACCACCATGGATGAGATGACTTTCACAGAGGTATTCTTTGCCACTGTCTGATCCACCAGATGCATAGTCTATCCATAGTCAAGCTAATGATTTTAAACAAGCGCTTGGTAGAAGGCAATCCACTGGTAAGTCTGTCATAAATCTTTTTGTTTCCTTTTATTTTTGTTTTTGGTTTTCGTGTTTTAGGTGAAGCAGAGGCTGGTGTCGAGCGACACCATCATCAGTATCGCCTGTCACTTGCTTCTGAAAAAAATATTAGGAAATCAGGAAATCGGAGTCAAACCAGAAATTCGGAATGGTCTGCTGCAATTCGGTACGAGGAGAATAAGTATCACACGACACCATCATCAATGTCGGTCAACACCATTGAAGCAGCCAGGTAAGATCTCCGTTTTTACTGTGTTTCTCTGTTTCCTTTCTTTTGTTTGACCAACTTCGGACTAGATAACACTGGGGACAGTGTTGTTTAAGTCTGGGGGAGGTAGTCGCTGACATTGTGTTTGTTTTTCTTAAGAGTCAGTTGTGTCAAATTAATTTTGAGTCAAAACCTGTTGGAGATTATGATGCTTTTCCTGGAATTATTTTGCTGACCTTTCATCTAAGTGATCACTCCTGCAGATTCAGTCTAGATCCGACTAACGAAAAATTCAAAGGCTGACCAGTTGACTAGAGGCGTCCATGTTTCCAACAGAGTCCACTAACCTGAGCTAATTTCTGAACTCTTTCTTTTACCTCATTGATGTGACTGATGTTCATAGAGCTTGATTCCTCGTTCATACTTGACAAATAAAAGCCTGTGTGAAATCTTATGTTGGTGCTTCTCTCCCTTGTGACGAGCTAAAAAAAAGTGAAGAAAAAGAAAGAAAAAAGCGAAAAGATTGAGATGATTTTCGCTTAGGAGTGAAGGGCTAGGAAAATTTCCAAGGATCCCATTATTTCACTTCTAAGTAGGAATGATCACACAAAGGAAGGAAGCGAGGGGTAGGAAAGTTTCCTATGACCCCATTATTCGCTGAAAACCTTTGATACAAGATAAGGAGTCAAATCGGGGACTCGATGGCAAACACCATCAGTACTCGCAGTTTTAACCTTATCGTGTATATGTCATAAAAAAGATGATGAGTGTGCAAAAAAAAATAAGTGTGGGGAGAGAAAAATACCAAAGTATGTATGGCTGATTTGTTTGAGTATAGTACGAGAAAGAATCTAGAAGGTTTTTGGCATCTGAATCATCAGTGAGACCCAGCGATGAGGGTTTATGGACAATGTTGTGGAATTTTGGACTTAATCTGGAAAGCTGTGAATGTCTGCGGAGAAGTACATGGTGGTTGGATTTGGAATGATGAAGCAGTATTTGAGTTGCAGGGTGATCGGTCAAAAGCGATGTTCTGGTGATGGGTTGAGTCTCCGTGTTTTCAAACCTCTTTCTCTTATTTGGTATTCTGTTTGCTTGAGGGCAAGCAAATGCTAAGTCTGGGGGAGTTGATATATCATGGTTTTATGATTTTTAACCATGATATAGGTCTTATTTATAGAGTCTTTTTAGTGTTTTTCGAGTCTTTTGGAGTCTTTACAAGTCATAGGTACGTTTGGAGCTTAACTGGAGATTTTGGAGCACTTTGGAGCTAAATCAGGATAAAGTTCGTGAAGGATGAAATATGTGCTTTAGTGTCGCTCGACACCATGGAGAGTGACGCTCGACACCGATCGCAAAAATAAAGAAAACGCGATTTTGTCTCCTATTTGAAGAAGGAGTTGGGCCCAAAAGTCTCCAATAATTACAAGGAAACCCAACACGTGATTTTTAGTATTTATTAGGGTTTTTAGCCACCAATATTGATACCTTAGATTTTCTTTGAGAGAGCTTTTGGGGAGACAAGTCTGAAACTCTGTTCCGGAGAGAGAGGATTTCGAACTCCTGATTATTTATCTATTTACTGTTTTCTGCCATCTATTAAAACATGTTCGTTGCTTCAATCTCCATATCTGAGTAGTTTGCTTGTTAGGTTTAGGGTTCTCATATAGGATTTCATTGGATGTTGGATTGATTGATTAGTTAGGGTTCATTATCTATTTAGTTCTTTGTCATAGGTTGTTCTTAAAGCTAAGTCTGGACTGACCACCTAGAACTTAGATCATTAGGTTAATTGATTGACACGGAAGTGTAATTTAATAACTAGAAAGAACCTAGGGTGAGCAAAGTAGCTATTCACAAAGGAAATTGGTTTAGATACTTTGTGAACATATCGAACTTGAGCATTAAAGCTGGTTTAAATCTTTAGGGTTTGCAAAGGAATTTGGAATTCTAGGATTTCAACTTTAATAATTCTCACAACGAAAATTGGTTAATTATAATTATGTGATTCGAGTTCAAGAACCGTGCTTAAACCTGAACCCTGATTAATCGATTGTTCTGCATTCATTGATTTCCTGAGAAACGCCCTATACCTAATCTCCATCCATCTGAATTTTACAAATGTTTTTACTGCATCGTTTTATTACATCTTGTTTGCTTCTCATTAATCTGTTTAACGTAATTCAATTTCTAATAGGTTTATTGAGCGAATCTTTCGTCTCTGTGGTTCGACCCTTACATACTATAACTGCACATTTATGCTCTGCATGCAGTAGCTCTATGGATTGAACTTTGAACATATCAAATATGTTCTCAAAAATTCAATTCTTATATTCTTGTTACACTGAAACCTTAAGTAAAACTGGAATCAATGTTCAAGTTCTAATTGCAATTCTCTTCTTTATTTTTTTTTTAATTCTTCATTACATATACGTCCATCTTGTTTTTCATTTATGGCTTCTTTTACTCCTACTTTTTTTTTAATGCAATTTCAACACTATACCAAAAAACAAAAAAAAAGTGAAAACTTTAAACAGTTTAGAAAAGTAATACAATTTCTCCCTACGGCATGAAATGATGTGCAAATGCTCTTAGATTTAGAATATTTTGGGTAATATTTTTTAGATTCTCACTTGAAATGTTTTCATATGATTATGGATCCTCTTTAGATGGTCTCTAGAGTAATATTAATAAGACAATACGTTACAAGGTTCGGACATCCATAGTAAGATGCTAAAACTCCACCTTTATGTATTACCAAAAGACTTAGTAGTTTCTCGAATCCAATTATAAATTCAAAATCTACATATGGATTATGACTTTTTTTTATAGTAACAGTATTATTCATTTCGTCATCAATCGTCTATCGATGATAAAAAACTTAAAAAGAATTTATTGTTTACTAGATTCACCACTGTTTACAGTCACTTTCAAAATTTACTTTGGGATAGTTCTGACTCCAAACTTCCGAAACGAACCGGTTTAATCATTTTCGATCTGGTCAACAACCGACCGAACCAGACCGAAATTAAATACACGCGTGGACTTTGATTCCCTGGAACACCTTTCTTCCTCCTTCCACCGATCATCCGTCATTGCTTCCCCTTTTTGTTCTATTTTCTGTTAATTTCATCGGAATTTTTTGAATTTTGAGATGATGGACCGAGGAGCTTTGGTGTTTTCTTCTTCTACCTGTTACGTTCCTCTCCGATGTCCTCAAACAAGAAAGGGTTTTTCTTTCCGGGATATATTCGAGCCGAGCAAGAAGCTAAGCAGTAATCTCCAATTGAGAAATTCTTCGGTTTCTGCGTCTTCTCCGGCGAATACGGTTGCGAAATGCAACGTGTTCGACTACGCGGAAACTGCTGAGAATCTGGTCGGCGATAAGCAGTTTGTGCGGTGGTTCCGTGAAGCGTGGCCTTATTTGTGGGCTCATCGTGGCTGCACCTTCGTCGTTGTTATCCTCGGCGAGATCTTATCGGGTCCTTACTGTGATGCCGTTTTAAAGGCACCTCTTTTACCTCTTCTTACTCGTCAGTGTTTTGTTTCTGAGCAATATTATTGCATGCAAGGTGTTTGATTGTTTGTCTTGCTTTAATTTGAATATCTAATTTGTCTTCTCTAAGTGAAATGCGTGACCTTTAAACCTCAAATATTTCACATTGTTTTGAGAAGAAGCTTGTTTATGATGTTTGCTTTGCTTATAAACCAAAGTGAAATCAGTTTTTGACATATGTGTGCAGGACATTGCATTTCTTCATCATCTGGGCATTAGGTTCGTCCTAGTTCCTGGGACTCAAGTGCAAATCGACCAGCTTCTAGCTGAGAGAGGTCAGAAAACTAACCTTAGCCTCTACTCTTATGATTGGCTTCTCGAGATATTTGCCTGTTTAGAACCTCTCAGTCACTATAGTTATCTTGCTTGTAAAATACTCAAACAAGTTTCTTAGATCTTCTGGTCTAGGCTACATTTTTTTTTTGTAGATATCTATATATGATGTTAGTGATTTCTTCAGTTAGTGATGGCGAATTTTGTGACTTTATTGTTAAATAGTTGAATGTGATAATTTCTTGAATCGTCTTCTAGCATGTTCAGATGGAGCCTAAGGTGTATCAGTTGCAGGACGCGAGCCTACATATGTGGGTCGTTACAGAGTCACAGACGCAGCATCTCTGCAAGCTGCCAAGGAAGCAGCAGGAGCGATATCGGTAATGATTGAAGCCAAACTATCTCCCGGACCTTCCATTTGCAATATACGCCGACATGGTGATAGTAGTCGTTTGCACGAAACTGGTGTTAGGGTTGACACTGGTAACTTCTTTGCAGCAAAGGTGAGTGTTCCACTATCTTGATTTGTTAACTATGAATTGTCAATTTTTGTCATGTTCGTTCTGATAAATTATCATGGCAGAGAAGAGGTGTTGTTGATGGTGTTGATTTTGGATCAACTGGTGAAGTGAAGAAGATAGATGTTGATCGGATCCGTGAGAGGCTCAACAGTGGTTCTGTAGTTTTACTGAGGAACTTGGGCCATTCCAGCTCCGGAGAAGTCTTAAATTGCAAGTATGCTCTGTTTCTTAGTAATAAATTACTTGTTTAAGACCTTAAAGACATGACTTTGCTTACTCTGATATTGGGACATTACTTCTACTCTGCAGTACCTATGAGGTCGCTACAGCCTGTGCTTTAGCTATAGGAGCAGATAAGCTTATTTGCATAATGGACGGGCCAATTCTTGATGAGAATGGACATCTTGTTCGCTTCTTGACTCTCCAGGAAGCAGATACGTTAGTCAGGAAACGTGCACAGCAAAGCGAGATAGCTGCCAATTACGTAAAGGCTGTTGGGGATGGAGGCATAAGCAGTTTTCCTGAACCTCTTGGTTACAATGGGATGGTAATGACTTCAAACAATCACAATGGCAGAGGAATTTGGGAAAAACACACTCCTGTTTTTCAAAATGGCGTTGGATTTGACAACGGAAACGGGTTATGGTCTGGGGAGCAAGGTTTTGCAATAGGCGGTGAGGAGAGACTTAGCCGTTTGTACGGATATCTTTCTGAACTAGCTGCAGCTGCGTTCGTCTGCAGAGTGAGTCCTTGACCTGACCCTTGTGCTCTGTTCATTTACTTTTTAAGGATTCCAAATTTTCTGATTCCTTGATGTGTTGAAAGGGTGGTGTCAAAAGAGTTCACTTGTTGGATGGTACTATAAGTGGAGTGCTATTGTTGGAGCTTTTTAAAAGAGATGGGATGGGGACTATGGTGGCAAGGTATACACAACAGTTTTCAATTTGGAACCGTTCAAAGTTATGATTTTTCTTACACCATTCATGTCACAGTGATGTATACGAAGGAACCCGAGAGGCGAAAAAGGAAGATCTTGGTGGAATCAGACAGATAATCAAACCTCTGGAAGAATCTGGGACTTTGGTTCGTAGAACTGATGAGGAGGTTAGCCTTAGGTTTCACTTTCTCTATGTTTTTTTTTGTGTGTGTGTGTAAGCATCAAAGTGCTAACCGGTTTTTGGTGTTCAGTTACAGGGAGCTTTGGATTCGTTTGTGGTTGTGGAAAGGGAAGGACAGATAATCGCTTGTGCAGCTTTGCTTCCTTTCTTTGAAGACAAGTGTGGAGAAGTTGCAGCTATCGCAGTCGCATCAGATTGCCGTGGACAAGGCCAAGGAGATAAACTGCTCGGTATAATCCACATAACTGGTTTCAAATCCAACAGTTAAAGAGAAATACTGGTTTTTGTTGACTGTGAACGTTATTTGCAGATTACATTGAGAAGAAAGCGTCAGCTCTCAGACTCGAGATGCTATTTCTGTTGACAACGAGAACCGCAGACTGGTTTGTGAGACGCGGGTTTCAAGAGTGTTATATCGAGATGATACCTGAAGCTAGGCGAGAAAGAATCAATCTTTCGAGGAGATCAAAGTATTACATGAAGAAGTTATTGCCAGACAGGAGTGGGATTTCAGTTGTTCGACCATTTCAGGGCGGTTCTTGAGAGCTTCTTGATGAGGAAATGATCCGAACACACAGAGCAAATGTAATTAACCTCTTAATCACTATCCGTGTGCGATTAAATTGTTTAATTAAGTCTTTATCTAGACGACTGACCAAACGTCGATATTCCAAGTGTCGATATTCCTTTCTTTATACCCATATAAATTGTTTTCATAGGCGTTTGTCTTAGGTGAAATGTGTCAAACGATTATTTATTTCGTCCCACATCGATAACTAAAGAGACTTTAGTTATAGGCTTTTGGGTATAAAAACGAAACTGAGGCTCGCCTACAAATCATACCTTTCTCGGCCTTTTGGCTAAGATCAAGTGTAATATCTGTTCTTATCAGTTTAATATCTGATATGTGGGAGTAAGCCCACTAAGATAGCTTGCTATCTGAGTTTTCGCGAGTCGCCCATGCGTTGCACTATTGCATGGGTCTGGCTCAGCCCACCAACTTCAAAGTTTTGAATCTTTATACTATGTTACTCAAATGAATATATATAAAGATCTTTAATTAAAAATGAAGAGCACTACTATTGTTCAAAAATTAGGTTTGATGAAAAATAGTTTAATTGGGTTGACTCTGAAATTGGGCCTTAGATAGAAAAATCTTTATAAGAGAAGGAAAGAAATGAGTAATGTCCAACATCGACTCTAATATTACTATAGAGTGAAGAAAATTATGAAGAATAGAAGACAACTAGACATTTTTCTTTTTAGTTTAACCAAAAAAAAATTGATCACAGTAGACCCATAAGACATAAAGAAGGAATGAAAGTGATATCATCACAATTCAGCCCCATAATTCATTCTTAAAAAGGAGTAATTTCTTTCTAAACTAGTGTGTCGTTTTTGACCAAAAGTGGTGAGTTCGTCATTAATAGCTGGTGGTGCCATGTTTGTTTATAAAATAACCTATTTGATCGTACGGAGGATTGAGTAACATAGTTTTTTTTATGTTATGCAATAGGGAAATGTTGGTTACCAAAAATAGATTGAAATTACTCGTGAAAGTTCAAACGATATAGTCCAAAGTAGAAATTAAAGATGAAGAAGACACACCCCTCGTGTTTACATTTCTTTCTCGATTTAAGAAACGTTGTTTCTTCTCTTGGAATTCGAATTCTGCAACAACATATCATATACAATTAAGTGGAATATCTTGATTGTTTGATGGAATATCTCAAATCTTGTGGACCAGAACGTACCAGTTAACTATACTCCATGTTCAAAAACTCGGCCGTCTAGCCATGAATCAGTTGGCTCTTTCACGCAGCTTATACTCCTCAAGGCTAAATACAGCGACATACCAACGCTCATGTAAAGAGATATAATGATCAATTACGTTAATTTGGTATATTTTGCCATGATTGTGAATAATAGATAACCATATTGCTCTGTTTCATAGGTTTCTCGTAATTGCAAACGCGGTTGCGGGTGGTTATTTGGTTCTCTCTACCTGTGAGTATCTTTCATATCATCAGTAGTAAAGCTAAAACCTCAAGAACCATCTTCCTCGTCATCGACATTCATGATCTTAAATGATATATTTAGCTGAAAGTAATATGTATTAATACCTTGAACAAATACAAATTTATATGTCGATTATAGCATTCAGTGGGCCTAACCCGTTTGGTCAGTCGTCTAGATATATGTCTGATTAAAATTGCTTAATTAAGGCAAACGTCTTGATAGTTTAGCTTTTACATTTGAAGCTTTCTTTAAATTGTCGATTACCAATTCAACAACACACTATTTGGAATATTGATAAACAAGTTGAATACTTATGATTAAGGATTGGCTTTAAGTGCATGCGGTTTTGCAGGAGACGGCTGAGTGTATATGTAATCAAGGTGGGCATCCGACGTCGTTTTCATCAAACATTCCTCTGTTTCACACTTCTTCTCCATCTCCTTCAAAGAATTAAAATAACTCATGTTAAATTTTGTTTGATTTTCATCAAACGATTTACTTTGATTTCAAGAACATTGAACTTACTTTCTTTTATGAGAAAAATGAATTACCGAGTTATAAAAATGAATCTACTGGGTTGTTAGAGAAAAAAGCTAGAAAAATACACTTGATAAATACAATTTTTATTTTCGCTATTATAAATTTTTCAAATGCATTAGATTTGTGAAAAGTAGTAATTTTTTTTTCCAATATTTTGATTATTTTTGCAAACAAATATCGAAATGTTTAGAAATTATATATAGCTTCTAAAGAAATATTATAAAGTTACTTTAAGTGCATGCGGTTTTGGGGGAGACTGTTGAGTGTAGATGTAATCCAAGTGAGCATCCGACGTCGATTTCATCAAACACTCTTGCGTTTCACACTTCTCCTTCATACAATTAAAATAAATTTTATTAACCAACCATATGATAAAACAGAAATTAACTTTTAACATATATAAACGGCCTCATATCAATAAATAATCAAACAATTTGGTTTTGCTATATGATAGATAATGATAGATATGATGCTTCCTCCGTTTCAATTTGGTTTTGCGATTGAAAAAAAAAATTGGTCAAACTAAGAGAATGAAATATTCACCGTAGATTTGCTCTGGAGAGTTGAGTCTGGACGAGCCAGCGAAGTAATAACCATGAAGCTAAGTAAAAGTGCTGCGACGATTAGAATGTTTGTCTTTGACATAGTTTCTTCTTCTTCTTAATCTTTTCTCTCTCTCTCTCTCTTGTATGGTTTATTTGGTTTGTGTCTTTGTGTCTTTGTGTTATATATTGAGTGATGCAGGAATGGATACGAGTCAACTTTATAATGCAAAATTTAGGTAAGAACGTATTTGGAATATGATATGTTTTCCTTTTTAGTTGGCTTGGAATATACATTTCTAAACCCTTGTTGCAAAAAAAGTCTTTAAATTTTCTGAATATTTATTGGTTACATTTATGGTAAAACTTTTCAATTTTCTTAATGCATTTAAATTAAATTTTCAAACATTTGTATTTTTGTTACTCCATAACTCATAAGTCATAAGTCAATTATTCCACGTCTTTCCCGTTCAGTAACGGTTAGTTAAAAATGAATACTTTTGAAAAAAATATTGATTTTTATTACAAACACTGATCCTTTGATTTTACATTTACTATTTGAAAAAAATGGGGACACAAATATTTTAATAAATAAAACTATGCTTTCTAGAAGTGTTTTTTTTTTTAAAAAGGGCTTCGTTCTAGAAGACTAGAAGTATTTTCCATCAAAAATTTGATACCAAGAGGTCCAAGACGATAGAGAAAGAATAAAAGAAATTAAAGGCAATCTTAAATCACTCATGAGGGTGAGATTTCCACCATTATGCAAATGTTAGGATGAGGAGGAATGCACTCATTATGGATTAGATCATATTAGATATTGGAAAGTATTTGATTTCGGCAACTCTTTTTCTCGTCAAGCTGGTAGAGGATTTACATTACGTGTTGTTATCTAAAAATATTACCAATAAATTAATGGCGCTGAACCTAAAGAGAGAAGTGATATCTTGCATACTTCTCATATGCTAGGATTTCATTTCTGATTTATATTAAAATAAAAAGCATATAAAAGCTTCAGCTCTTTGGAGCTTTTAAAAGTTAGAAAAGGAGCAACCTTTGAAAAGGACACAAACGAAGATGAGTTATCTTACTAGTTACTAATTTACTTAAAGAATAAAATGTTCCATCATCAAACCCAAAATTCGAATCACAAAAAAGGAAATTTACAAATCTCTCCAAAAAAAACCGATGACTGTTGAGTTTCAAGAGGAGGATTATAATGAAACATTCTCGTTTTAGGGCGTGATGCAAAATTAGTTGTTTTTAAGGTTAAAGAGACTTCTTGAGATGCAATGCTTCTTTGAGCTTAAGACCGAGAGCAAAGGCCAATGGTGGAGGCACTGCATTCCCAATCTGCCTATGCTTATGTATTATGTTCCCTTCGAACACATAACTATCCGGAAACCCCTGCAAAAATATCATATACAACCAACCAAATTTCATTCCTCTGTCTTCTTTACTATCCATAAAAGCTTAACTAGGAGCAGGAGAGTTTTTCTTTAACTAACCTGAGATCGAGCGCATTCACGGACAGTGAGAATCCGGTCTTGGTCAGGATGGAAGCACATTCCAACCTTACCCATGGGCTGAGGATCAGTGATGGAAGTTGGAAAGTTGCCTTGCCAGTCTAATCTCCCAAAGAGTCCTTTCCACTGGTTGTGACGGTCGGCTGTGTTTGGCAGACACCACGGAATCAAATTTTCCAGTTTCCCATTTGATAGCATCACCTGTAATAAGTTGATGATAGAAGCACTAGAGTAAAAGAAGTTGATGATCTATACAAGTTTTTTGATTCTCCTAGTCGGATGTATAAGAAGACTGACCTTTTCTTTTGGGAGGTCATGCCAATCAGCACCTGGCCTCTTTGGGATTTTCTTACATCGAATGAGGTTTAGTTCGCTCATCCCTTTGCAGATATGATTAGTGAGAACATTCATATCTCCTCTTATCTTCTTTGGAACCACGAGACTGGACCAGCTTGATACTGCAAGATACAAGATTACAAGAATCCAAAAATAAAAAACAGGTTAATGTTGTATGATGTGTAAATGTATAATAGTTTCTCCTGATGTGTTATCATTACCTCTTTGTTCGTCTTGGATTCTCCGTTTTCTACTGGTGGAAGATCGCCTATCGTGTCTCTCACAGTGATTGGGCGGAAAGGTGCACCATTTTGAGTGCTGCGAATAGCAGCATAGTGTACACCTTTGGCTAGCGAGATTTTCAGCTCTGGAACATTGAAGACATGCATTGGCTCAGGCCATTCGGGGAGAACTTCGTCTGGTGCAGCTGCCCATATAAAAGCTCTTTTGCGAGATTGGGAAACTCCATATGCACCTGCCTCCAAGATTCCAAATCTCACCTAGGAAACATCATATCATTACACAAATGTTGAATTATATTTTCACATAAAGAGCAACTTCTACTAAAGAGCAACCAAATGTGGAACAGAGAGAGAATGAGAGGAGAGTAATACCTCTATGAGTTTACCTGGTAACCCATTTCGAGAAGAGAAGCCAGAGTAAGTTGAAATGTCTGCCCTTTATTGAACGACACAAAGTTCCTCACGTTCTCCAAGAGAAAATACCTTGGCCGGAAATAATCAGCAAAGGACAAGAATGCTAATATCATTTCACACTGAACTTTACTCCAAGAGCTTTGGTTGAAACGGTTCATACCAGAAAACCCCTGCCAAATTACACAGGTTAAGATCTCTTCACTTATTAACGAAAATTGTAAAGACAAGTATAGTAACATTCTTATATATATACCTGGCACGGAGGGCCTCCGTTGATGAAATCCACTTTACCAGGCATTGGCAGAGTACGCTTCTGATTCTCATCAAGTTTAGCTGCGAGTTCATTTGCTTCTTTAGTAGAGATACACTCATCTTGGTCTCCGCATCTCTCCATTATAGCCCTGCAAATAATCTCAAAACCTGATCTACAACACACGAAATGGCCACATTTGGAAGACTAAGTGTTTATCTTGTTGGCTGTTTACCTAAGAATCACATTGCAGTTGTCAACAAAAACTGTTGATTCGGTATGGTTTTGTTTAAAAGCCTCCCCAGCTGGCTCTTCATACTCTATTGCCCACTTTGTTGTTGATACACCTTTGTACATAAAGCATGCAAATGAATACAAAGCGTTTTTGATAGATAAAGTGTCAACTGGAGATAATACATACCTGCTTTTTCCATTCCCTCAGAGAGTCCACCACAGCCAGCAAAAATATCAAGCGTAGCCAGAGGCATCTCTTCCGGTACCAAATCAGGCTTGGCAATCCCAGAACCAGTTTCAGCCTCTACTCCCTTCCCCTTATTCTTTCTTAGAAGTGTGTCGTCCTTAATGGTAGAGAACTTCGGCTTGATATTGACAGGCAACTGTTACAAGACGGTTAAAGAGAAACACTTCAACTTTGTCTCGGAAACAGCAACAACCATAACAAACAATTACATACAAAATCATATGAATCTTTTTTCTAAAATCTGTGAACAAAATTAACTGTCGGCAAACAAAAGGAGTGAAGAAATATATACCTGCTTGACAGAACCGTTGGACGAGTCATAGAAACGTTCACAGAAGAAGATATTCTCTGAGATTGGATATTCATAGCGTACGGGCATATCATTTTTCTTCCTTACTTCACATCTTCCCTTTAGAGCCTCTGGATGGAGAACATCTGTGTCCTGGCTGTAATACAACTGAAATAAATTGCAAAAGAACAGAGAAAAAAAATATTGTAAGATAAACTTATGGAGAAACAACCAAGTAACCTCCCTTACTTAAAACATCACTAGATATATAACGTAAGAAACAGTTGTTACCTCTTGTATGTCTGAAGCATAGGCCTTCTCTGCCGAAATATCCTCAGGCCTATAAAACCTTCTCACTTTAACCTTAAAGGAACCTTTTCTAGATTCCTTTGGGATAATGATTTCCAGCATTTGGCAAACAACATAAGCTCTTAAACCAATATTCCGCCCAGACTTATATTTTTTAATACCATCGTTCAAGCCATCTGTAGTTATGCATTCAGGGTTGACATAAACATAATCATCAACGGAATACTCAATTCCATTGGCGAAAAAGCCTGTCTTTGAAACGTTAAGTTTGAGTTTCGACCTTCCCTCTTCATCCTCTCTTATCCTACATGAATTGCAAGATCCAGAGCCGAGACCAATATCACGTAGAGGAAGACTAAAGAACCCGCCTCTATCAGGTGAATACAAGCTTTTGCCGTAGTATTCTGTTGGCAAATCTTTCGCTTTTCTTTCTTCTGCTCTTACCCTGTCAAGTTTATCTGCAGTGGCGTTCTCTTTCCTATACTGATGACCCCATGGCCTTGATCGAATCTCAAAACTGGCTGTTCCTTTTATGTCCTTAAGCTGTACATTCATGCATTCATTGGTCAAGAAAAGTTCCCTCTCGTTAGCAGCATTCCCTAGAACAGTCTCGGATCCTCTTTGTAGGAGTCTTCCATGTAGCATCTTGCAGTGATCTGAAGTTTCAAACATGTACTCCACATAGTAGATGGCCGGAATTTCATCTTGATCAACCACTTCCAACACAACAGCACCACCTACAGCCACCATTTCTTCTCCAACTAAGGCTTGAAGATAGAGTGGCTCACCAGCAGAAGTTCTTCCTAAACTCTCGCCATCCCACCTTATTTCCATTTTTCCAGAACTCCCTCCAATTTTCTTTGGAGGAGTATTAGACTTTTGAACCTCAACAGTTTCTGGTACCGTTTCCTCTGCGTCTGCGTCGTCTTCTTCATTTTCGCCCTCCTCTTCAACCTCTTCCTCCCCATTTTCTGCATCAACTGCCTGCGACGAATCCTCTGGATAGTAATTGGAGTAAAACTCTCCCCAAATTCTGTTGATCAGGCGAGTTGTTGTTGCTCTCATAGCTTTCCTCTTGGATACAGGTGCCATACCTGCCCTTGGATTCAAATTCACTTTCTGCAAAATTCTCTTATTCTTGATAATCCATTTCGTGGGGTGCCTTTCCTCCCTTTTCTTTGCAAGATAGGTAATAAATGAACACTTGCTGATAGCCTTGTTAGGATAATCTGCAAACATCCCCAAGATCATTTGCCCATGGACGACCACATATCTCTCGACAACCTTATAATCAGAAGAAATGTAAGCTTTATCGTCCTCATGGAACTCAGAAACTCTTCTCATGACATCTGCAAATGGAAGCCTCGCCATTCTAATTTGTTCCTTCAGCAGAGCAATAATGCTTATTGTAACCATTGCTGTTTTCAGAACAGGCCCATACAAAGAGACGTATTGCTTTGACGGTTCCCCAAGACGATACCTGCATATACCTTATACGTCAGCAACATAAGAACAACAAAACGAAGCAGAAACATGGCGGTGCAAATACTAGAATAGACAGCTTACCATGCCACATCTGTTCGTATTGAAACCGAGGCCGTTGACGCCCCATATTCAATCATCCACTCCTTTATTTGGCTGAGGAATATAGGCATCCCATCATTGACCTGTGACTTTGTAGAGGCGTCAGAATTTTTTAGAGCATTCCATTCTTTATTATCCTCTGTCACCAAACCAGATCCAAAAACAGTCACATCAATATCATCACAATTCTTCATCGGAAGAAGCTCCAGGGATATGAACCTCGAATCAGAGTTGTAAAGAGCCCAATTATTAAGCATCATGCGAGGTAAGTCCTCCTCATCGTCAATCTCATAGCCATCAAAGAGTAAAAGCTCATCTATTTCTTCTCGGTAATTCTTGTAATAAGATGGGAAAGGATAATCACTGGCAATCTCATCTTCAGTGGTTTTTATGTAATGCACACTCGTTGAAGCAGTCACCGAGCTGCTGTTTCTCCTTGCCCGTTTAATAGACTTCCTATACTCTTCATCTTGTAAAAGCTTTGCATATTTTCTATCCTCTTCAACACCATCAACCTGTGTATGATCAGAAGTCTCTCCACCACTAATCCTCAGACCACCATTAGAAGGTCTTCTTTCCACATGAACAGCATCTCTAAGAGCAAGAAGCACAGGGATCTCACCAAAGTTCTCATCAAAACCAACAAGCTGGTTATAAATGAATTCTCCCTCCTTTATAACGAAATTCTGAATCGCTGCTACATCGCTAGCAAAGATCTTGCTTCCGCTCATAGACCTTGCAACAGCTGCAGCCAGCTCGTAAGGACTCATGTCACCTGCAGACTTGGACAATCTCTTATAAACCTTAACCGAGGCACGCACCTTCTCGAAGAAATGGTCATAGATTCTCCTGTAACTAGACGCAGGTTTAACACACTCATAATCTGCATAATCGGTCGAGACCCAAATCACAGGGGAACCATCTTCATATCCAGATACACTCCAACGCTCAACGCGTTCCAAAGATCGAAACTTTACGCCATTTTTAGAATATTCATCTGAAGGTAAGACCACACCGTCAATGAATATGTCTCTAATCTCCAACATCTCCACAGAATGTCGAATTTGATCTTCGTCATGTAAAATGAAATCAGTTATTCTCCTGATTTGACGAGGCTCGTGGATATCACCCGGTGAAGCTGTCAAGTGTAGAGCATCAAACTCGTTGTCCACCTCCAAAATCTGGTCTTTCTTTGTTACAAAAGTAGCAGATTTCTCAGAGATTCTCACAGATTTCTCCTTGAAGTCTTTGCATGCTGCTGCCCGCTTCGGCCTCGTCCTCGTGACGACATCGACATCTTCTGGCTCTTTGCTCTCTGAAAAAAGTCTCTTCTTGGCCATTTTCAAAACCTACGAGATAATACATACATAGTCAAAAGAGGAATCGAAAAATGGAGACTTTCCCGATGGATCAAAACCCTAAAAATGGGTTTTTCAAAATTAAAATTTTCGAGTATAAAGGCTAAATTGTTGAACAATTAGAGCGGGGACATTTCTAGGGTTTAACAATCGACACAGCAGAAATGTTACAGTTTAGAAACGAAATCGGCAGGAGAATCTCTCCCTTTGGGCCTCTTCCATATAAATCAAAGAGAGATTTTTTTTCCCGCTCTAATTGTTCATCATTTTAACCTAGATTCGAAGGAAGATTCCATATACTGTAAATCCCATTTATTAAAGTTTTCACAATTTATTTTCATTTTCACAATTCGACAGATGGGTAAATTAAGCCCTTGACAACACTAGCAACTAGCAAGCAGCACTATACTAATCACAAGCCAATTTTTGGGAAATTAGTTCTGATACTAAACAACATATATTATTCACCCGCCACTTCCCTTCACGAATATCATTTTATTTTTATTCTTAACATGCAATATGAACAAGAAAATGTAACAATAATAGAACGCATTGTGACAATGCCTTGCATGATGAATGTTTCTTGTACAATATAATAACCGCATGTTTTTGTCTGTTTCGGATAGTTGAGCTCACGAAATTAAGCGACTCGGTCAATTTCGTCAAAGCTTAAAAAGCTCAGATCTTAAAACTCGCTTTTATATTCTTCTTCTTCTTCTTTCTCCATTTAAGTTTGCGATTCTTCTGCTTCTTCTTTTCTTCCCCAACATACAAAAATAGAATTAAAAATAAAAAAATTTCGAAACAGAGTAGAAAAAGCTGAGGTCTTTAATATTTTTACGTTTTTTTCTTTCACATAAGAAACAGCCATTGAAGCTGCGAAGAAAGCAGAAAAAAAAATGGAGAGTTACCTCAACGAGAACTTCGACGTTAAGCCGAAGCATTCATCGGAGGAAGTGCTCGAGAAATGGCGGAATCTCTGTAGCGTCGTCAAGAACCCGAAACGCCGTTTTCGTTTTACCGCCAATCTCTCGAAACGTTACGAAGCCGCCGCAATGCGCCGCACCAATCAGGTCCTTTCTTTTTTTTAAGATTCTATTACCAACATTGAAGATTCTGTAACATTGTTAATCTATGGCTTTTGTGTTTCTGGAACTTGAGATTGGATAGTAATAAATTTGTATAAAAATTTCAAAATACAGGAGAAATTAAGGATTGCAGTTCTTGTGTCAAAAGCCGCATTTCAGTTTATCTCCGGTGAGTTAATCTGAGAGTGAAGAAAGTTTAGAGCTTTATTTTTCTTGCATTTGTGTAAAAAGTTTCGAGCTTTGTCTTGTTCTGATTTCGAAATGGGTTTCTTCAGGTGTTTCTCCAAGTGACTATACGGTGCCTGAAGAAGTTAAAGCTGCAGGCTTTGACATTTGTGCAGATGAGTTAGGATCAATAGTTGAAGGTCATGATGTGAAGAAGCTCAAGTTCCATGGTGGAGTTGATGGGCTTTCAGGGAAGCTCAAGGCATGTCCCAATGCTGGTCTCTCAGGTGAATCTGACCAGTTGAGCAAAAGGCAAGAGCTTTTCGGAATCAACAAGTTTGCGGAAAGCGAATTGAGGAGTTTCTGGGTGTTTGTTTGGGAAGCTCTTCAAGATATGACACTTATGATTCTAGGTGTTTGCGCTTTCGTCTCTTTGATTGTTGGAATTGCAACTGAAGGATGGCCTCAAGGGTCACATGATGGTCTTGGCATTGTTGCTAGTATCCTCTTGGTTGTGTTTGTCACAGCAACTAGTGATTACAGACAATCTCTGCAGTTCCGGGATTTGGATAAAGAGAAGAAGAAGATCACTGTGCAGGTTACAAGAAACGGGTTTAGGCAGAAGATGTCTATATACGAGTTGCTTCCTGGTGATATTGTCCATCTTGCTATTGGAGATCAAGTCCCCGCGGATGGTCTATTCCTCTCGGGATTCTCTGTTGTGATTGATGAATCGAGTTTGACTGGAGAGAGTGAGCCTGTGATGGTAAATGCACAGAATCCTTTCCTTCTCTCTGGAACCAAAGTGCAAGATGGGTCTTGTAAGATGATGGTTACAACGGTTGGGATGAGAACACAATGGGGGAAGCTAATGGCAACTCTTAGTGAAGGAGGTGATGATGAAACTCCATTGCAGGTGAAACTCAACGGAGTTGCAACCATTATTGGGAAAATTGGTCTTTTCTTCGCCATTGTTACGTTTGCGGTTTTGGTGCAAGGAATGTTTACTAGGAAGCTTTCGATGGGAACTCACTGGAGCTGGTCTGGAGATGAAGCGTTAGAGCTTTTGGAATACTTTGCTATTGCTGTGACAATTGTTGTCGTTGCGGTTCCTGAAGGTTTGCCTTTAGCTGTGACTCTTAGCCTCGCGTTTGCGATGAAGAAAATGATGAACGATAAAGCCCTTGTTCGACACTTAGCAGCTTGTGAGACAATGGGATCTGCTACTACTATTTGCAGTGACAAGACTGGTACTTTAACAACTAATCACATGACAGTTGTGAAATCTTGCATTTGTATGAATGTTCAAGATGTAGCGAGCAAAGGCTCAAGCTTGCAGTCTGAAATCCCTGAGGCTGCTCTGAAACTACTTCTCCAGTCGATTTTTAATAACACCGGTGGTGAAGTTGTTGTGAACAAACAAGGCAAAACAGAGATATTGGGGACACCAACAGAGACTGCTATATTGGAGTTAGGACTATCTCTTGGAGGTAAGTTTCAAGAGGAGAGGCAATCTTACAAAGTTATCAAAGTTGAGCCTTTTAACTCCACAAAGAAAAGAATGGGAGTGGTCATTGAGCTCCCTGAAGGAGGAGGCATTCGTGCTCACACGAAAGGAGCTTCTGAAATAGTTTTAGCTGCTTGTGATAAAGTTATCAACTCGAGCGGCGAGGTTGTTCCGCTTGATGAAGAATCCATCAAGTACTTGAATGTTACAATCAATGAATTTGCAAATGAAGCGCTTCGCACTCTTTGTCTTGCTTATACGGATATTGAAAACGGGTTTTCTGCGGATGAAGGCATTCCGGCTTCAGGGTTTACTTGCATAGGGATTGTTGGTATCAAAGATCCTGTTCGTCCTGGAGTCAGAGAGTCCGTAGAGCTTTGTCGCCGTGCTGGCATTATGGTGAGAATGGTTACAGGAGATAACATTAACACCGCAAAAGCAATTGCTAGAGAATGTGGAATTCTCACTGATGATGGTATAGCCATTGAAGGCCCTGTGTTCAGAGAGAAGAATCAGGAAGAATTACTTGAACTCATTCCCAAGATTCAGGTGAACGTTTCTTGATTTAGAAGAAGACTTTCCTTCTTAATACTAATACTAAGGAAGTCTTAAACAAGAACTTTCTTTTGGGAATTTTCTTAATAGGTGATGGCTCGTTCTTCTCCCATGGACAAGCATACACTTGTGAAGCAATTAAGAACCACTTTTGATGAAGTTGTGGCTGTGACTGGTGACGGGACAAACGATGCACCAGCTCTCCATGAGGCTGACATAGGATTAGCAATGGGCATTGCAGGAACTGAAGTGAGTTTGATGTGTCAAAGTCGAATATTATTGTGCAAAAAGACTCGATCTTTTCTAATTGCAATATAAACTTTAGGTGGCTAAAGAGAGCGCGGATGTTATCATTCTCGACGATAATTTCAGCACAATCGTCACAGTGGCGAAATGGGGACGTTCGGTTTACATCAACATTCAGAAATTTGTGCAGTTCCAGCTAACAGTCAATGTTGTTGCCCTCATTGTTAACTTCTCTTCAGCTTGCTTGACTGGTGAGTTAAAAAGGAATTGGCAGATTCAATTCAATCAAAGTTTCCATCTTTTTACAGTGTTTCTGCCTCATTCACAGGAAGTGCTCCTTTAACTGCTGTTCAACTGCTTTGGGTCAACATGATAATGGACACACTTGGAGCTCTTGCTCTAGCTACAGAGCCACCGAACAACGAGCTGATGAAACGAATGCCTGTTGGAAGGAGAGGGAACTTCATTACAAACGCGATGTGGAGGAACATTTTAGGACAAGCTGTGTATCAATTCATTATCATTTGGATTCTACAAGCCAAAGGGAAGTCCATGTTTGGTCTTGTTGGTTCTGATTCTACTCTAGCATTGAACACACTTATCTTCAACTGTTTCGTCTTCTGTCAGGTAAAAATATACTCACAAGTAAAACACTAGACTTGCATCATGTTGTGGACTGGTATATGACTACTTTGGAAATGTTCTTAATGCTCAGGTCTTCAATGAAATAAGCTCGCGGGAAATGGAAGAGATTGATGTATTCAAAGGAATACTCGACAACTATGTATTCGTGGTTGTGATTGGTGCAACGGTTTTCTTTCAGATCATAATCATTGAGTTCTTGGGGACATTTGCAAGCACCACACCTCTAACAGTAACCCAATGGTTCTTCAGCATCTTCGTTGGCTTCTTGGGCATGCCTATCGCTGCTGGCTTGAAGACAATAGCAGTGTGATGGAATAAGACACATTGCTGATTGCTCTTATAGAATACAAGTTCTTATTGATACAGGCAAAAGCTTTTGCCTTTCTTGCAACATTTTCCTTCTTCTTTTTTTGGTTCTGTTGTTGACATGATAGGTGAAGGACAATTAACCTGGTCATCCAATTTTGTAATTTCTTTGTTCTTGAAAATGAATCCAATCTTATTAAAAACCAAAACAAAACTTGGACAAGACTGAGAATTGCAGAGACATATTATTCAAAATGGCTAGAGAGTTGTTGTAATAGGTGACAAAAGTGAGGGGCTTTCGTATAAAATTTGATACTTCCCATCACAAATCAACCCTAGACGCATTTGCTTCCTCTCTTTCAAGATCAATACACGCCGTTCGTCGCTTGGTATTGTTCTATCCTCTAGAATTTTACTCGGCAGCTACAGGTAACTTAAATCTTGAACAATCTCCCCATAGAGTTGATTTTGTGTTGTTGTTTGAAACTCTTTAATTTTTCCATTGAGTTTTAAAAATCACAAGGAAGAGAAGGAACGATATTAGTTTATTTTCTCTTGTTGGTTTAGTTTTCGTTTTGCTTGCAAATGTAGTTGAAGAACTTAGCTCGAACCTTATCATCTATAAGAAGAATGGATTCTAGCTTGAGAGATGTAGACAGAGAATTTTACAGTATGCGTTTCATTGTTTAACGGGAGGATTACACTAACCTTAGAAAGTATCTATATTACTTGTTCGACGCACTTTTATTTTTTTTATAAAACTAACCTAGCATACCCAAAACACATTTTTCGCCTTTGTTGAAAAAACCTTATTACGAAAATGCCATTACTTTTTTAATGCCACGTAAGCAGATTTATGCGCTCAAAAATTAATAAGTCTACCAAGCAATGGCGGTAGACTTATGAAAATTTGGTCAACGCAGAAATTTTGTTGGTAGAGTTATTAGGGCGATGGTAGATTTATTCAAGAGTTGGTAGAGTTTTTAAATGTTGGTAGACTTTTCTTGGTAGAGTTTTGACGATGAGAGGTAGATTTATTATGTTTCGGTAGATTTGTTGTTATGAATGGCAGATAAGTTTTGGTAGACTTGTTAAAAAAACTGTTGACTTTCTCGCATAGTTGACTTTTTCGGTAGATTATTTACAATGAAATAGATTTATTTTCTGAGTTGGTAGACTTATTTCCTTTAGCGGTAGATTTATGTGAAAAAAGTTGTCAATACGTGCGGTAGATATATCTGTTTAATGGTAGAGTTATATATAGTTGGTAGAGTTTTCGCTATTGTAGTAGATTTGTTTGCCTTGTGGTAGACTTATTTCACTTAAAATTCATTCCGGTGAGTGGTACATTATATGTTACATGAGGTAGACTTAAAAACTGTTGGTAGATTTATTTGTTTTGTGGTAGATATGTTTGTTTTGTGGTAAACTTATATTTTAAATAAATTTCATTCTCATTTGTGGTAGATTTAAAATGACATGAAGTAGACTTACAAGATGTTGGTAGATTTGTTTGTATGTTTGGTAGAGTTTAAGTAATCTGGTAGACTTATCGGCTGTATGGTAGACTTTTTGAAATAACAATGTGGTAGATTAATTAAGTTTGGTATTTACAGAGATAACCTTGATCTGGTAGATATATGACATGCTTATGGTAGACTTGTTTATATGGTAGAGTTATTTGTCATGCTTGAGGTAGACTTAGTAGTTAATGTTTGGCAGACATTTGACTTTATGGAGTAAAATTACTTTTTTGTCCTAAAAGAATTGTTCTATCTACAAAAAAACCTACTGTTTGGTAGACTTATGGTTGCAGTCTTGTACGTCTTTCAATTTTCGTCCATATGGTAGACTTATGGTAACGGTAACCATAAACCGTTACCAACGAACCGTCGCATCGATTTCGAGAACTTCTCTTTGATTCATTTCCCAACGAAACGTCGCATCGATTTCGAGAATTTTTCTTGATTCATTTCCCAACGAACAGTCGCATCGATTTCGAGAACTTCTCTTGACTCGAGTTCTCTTGTGAGTTCTCTATAAATACCACAACCGAGACGATTCATTTCTCATCCCGATTTTCCTATGGCGAATCTCGAGTCGCTCCCTTCTGATCTTTTGTGCGAGATATTGTTAAAAATATCTTAAAACTCGTATGCGGATCTTTGTCTTGCAAAAGTTTCATCGAAAACACTTAACAACATCTCTAACGAAGCGGGTTTTCTTAGGGAAGTTGATTTAATCAACTTTATCGCGCCGTGGAAGTGGGATGTACATGGAAGGGTCCGTGCATTCTTTAGACGGTGCTTGGCGGCAGGAAATCCATCCGCACAATTGCGAAGAGGTTTATCGCTGATTTTTTTCGAACATAGCCTCCAAGCAGGGTGTGATTTCATTAAAATGGCATCAGACAATGGATTTCTCATGGGTAAGTACTGCCACACTATGTTACATCTAACCATCGATGGCACATCAGAGGTATTCAACTCCGTTAAAGCTCTCTCCTGGGAAGATGCAAAGAAAATGAGATTGACAATGGAAAAGATCTTCATGCCTGCGTTCAATTTCCAGAAGCCCGAGGAACTGGTGGAAATGGTTTTCCAGGCTTATAAAAAGTCTTTAAGTACAAGGACTTGTGGTTGTCTCAAAGTACCAGACATGCGTTGGATGGGAGATGAATACATGCTCGATACGTATGGGGATCAACTTTGCGAATCCTGCTTCTGGAAATTGGAGTGTGCCAATTTTTGGTGGATAGTACCATCGTTTGCTATGGATTGGCCACGTTGATTGCATCAGTACTTGTACTTTCATGTTTGTTGAGAGACTTCTGTTTAGTTAAGTAGATTTGTTTTTATTATGAAGTAGACTTATATGAAAGTTATGTTGTGTTATTTATGTTGTGTTAAGTAGATTTATGTGTTATTCATTTCGAGAGCTATTAATTATAACAAATCTACTAACAATATAATATAAGTCTACCATTCATTCAATTGTAATTGGGAACATGACAAGTCTTTTACAACAAATCTACCAACAATATAATATAAGTCTACCATTCGACTTAATATAAAGCCAACGGGATTCGACTGTTGCGGTGAAGTCCCAATACGCCAACATGCAAAATGAAAAGCAACGCCAACATCTTCTTCTTCTCATAAGTCCATGCTTGGCAAGTTTTCATCCGAGCTTCTAACTCATTCCAATTAGGGCCTTCCCCACCTCTCACTCCAATCTCAGCCCAAAATTCGGTGTGATCTATTTCCAACTTGTCATTGGGATCAATTGGGTCACAGTTTAGCCCCGTGATTTCAGCATACTTTAAGAGTGAAAATCTAACAGGGCGACCTCCAATAAGAGTCCAGAACTCATGATTCCTATCCACCTTCAGTTGGTTGCTCACAAAATACTGAACCGTCTTAGCACTCCATATGAACGAAGTCAATGCAAGCTTCAGTAGCACGCCAACTTGAGAATTATTCATGATGTCGTTGTAAATTTCTTCCCCAAGGTGATCCATGATCATCATGATGAACTCATGAAGCTTGCAGTTATGATGACAACTCTTCTTCAGCACAGGAGATTTGCCTTCCGGGTACAATCTTTGGGGATAATCCTTTGAGCCGCTAGCTGAAGCCATGTCTGCAAACAAATAAAAATATTAAAATCTTACAAATCTACCACACATCAAAACAAATCTACCATGAACAAACACATGTCTACCAAACTCGACAACAACTATAGAATACCTACCACAAAACATTAACAAATCTACCAAAACGAACACAAATCTACCACAAATAAAAGAAAAGAAAATATAGAACACAAATCTACCAAATAAATACATAAATCTACCACACACAAAGAGAGAACGCAAATATAGAATTCGTAAGTCTACGAAACGCAATTTTTAACCCAACCATTACAAACACAAATTACTCACCACATATGAAAACAAATCTACCATGAACATGTTTACCAAACTCGAAAGCAACTATAATATAAAATCTACCAAACCCAGGAGCAACTATAGTATATAACTCTACCAAATACGACCAAAAGTCTACCACACATGGAATAAATCAACCAACAATACATAAATCTACCAATACAATCTCAACAATAACTCTACCAACAATACTTTGATTATTCAAACAAGACAATGAAACGAAAACAAATCTACCTCACATAGAAAACAAATCTACCTCACATATACTAATCGACCAAATGCAACAACTACTGAAAAGTCTACCAAAAACAAATTAAAACCGAACCACTCCGAACAGAAATTACTCGCCGGAAATCGTGTAGGGTCTCTGGAAACCGTTCTCCAAAGACGGAAACCGCCGATAATAATACTTCCCTGAAAAAAATAAGAAAAGGGTTACGATTTCTGAGTAAAATCATGTGAACAGATGGTTTCTCTTCCGCCGTTTAGCGCGAAACCACCGTTGACACCCAAACACAACCGTCGCGACTAAAGACGTAGACAGTTTTCGACATAACCCCGAAAACCCAAGACAAAAACTTGTTCGACACGAGAAATGAACCCAGATGTGAAACACTTACCAGATGAGTGGCCGAAAAACCTTTCGTCGCCGCCGAAATCGCCTTCTTCGCCGCCGAAAACCCTGAATCGCCTCTCTAGTCGCCGAATCGCTTATATCGTCGCCGCCGGAATTAGGGTTTACAGTTTTTTTGTTTTGTAATTTCTATTTTTAGAATTAGGGAAATGTTTGTGTATATACGTGTATATACGTGTATATACGTGTATATACGTATGTATATAATTTGAAGTTTTTTTTAAAATTACAATGGCAATCAGGTAATAATATTGATTATTTGGACAAAATGGTATAACACCAACTTTCTAAGGTTAGTCTAGTAAGCTGATGAATATGTTAGGCTAAGTTTGTCAATACATTAACCTTAAAGGTTAGTCTGAGGAATTTTCACTTGTTTAACATGGTCATGGGCCGTTGTTGATTAGTTAAAGTTAGAGTTTTTCTTCTTAGTTCTTTGACATACCTTGAAAAGTTTTATTAGATTCTCTCTCTTTTAAAAGGTTTACATTTTGTTTCAGTTTTTGAGAGAGAGAGAAGGATGGTGATTCCACCGGCAGTGCCAGTGAGACCACCACGTCTCTTTGACTACCTCAAACCTTACGTCTTGAAAATGCACTTCACGAACAAGTTTGTTCACGCCCAAATCATCCACTCACCAACGGCCACGATGGCTTGCTCAGCGAGCTCACAGGAGAAAGCACTGAGGGAAACAATGGGGGTCACACGCGACGTGGCTGCTGCTGCAAAGATTGGTAAGATCCTTGGGGAAAGACTGTTGATGAAAGATATTCCAGCTGTTACTATTCACATGAAGAAAGAGCAGAGGTATCATGGTAAAGTCAAGGCTGTGGTTGATTCTGTCAGGGAAGCTGGCGTCAAGCTGCTTTGAGGATCATGAAGCCAAATCAATTTCATGTTGAACTTTAGTCACGAGTACCCTCGTATTCATCTTTATCTGTTGCTTCGAGCTTAGATCAGTTGAGAAAGATGGGAAGATGTTTTTAAAGAAAAGGTTGTTCCTGATTCAGAGTCTGATCATGTTTCTTCAGCTCTCCTGATCTCCTTCTCGTCCGGTTAGTATCAAATCTTAGGGTTCTTCTTGTTGACATTTCCATTTGATCTGCTGGTTAGATTTCAGAAAGTGGCTATATGGGAATTTATCACTCAAAAGTCTCAATCTTTTTTGCTTTTATCGTTTAGATCACCTTGACTCGTCTGATGCAAGCAAACCAAGTTGATTAAAAATTTTGAGTCTTGCGCTTGTTACTCCTCAGCTTGTTGTTGTTCATGTGGGCTCTCAGTGCTCTGCTAGCTCCATTTTGAGATTGGGCTACTCATGGAACTTGTTGCAATAAAAAAATTGTTCAATTGGAGTGAAATGCTCAGTTTTGGGGGTTGGACTTGCTTAAGAATGGTTGTAGAAACATGTATTCAGGTGCAGTTAAACCCGGATTCGAAAAGGAGTATGCGTTTCTAAAAGGACCATATGAATCAGAAAGAAAGTCTCGGAATCTGTTGGTAGAGGATCCAAGGATCGTATTCTGTGTCGGGTGTTCTGTAAAAAGACTGATGCTCTTCTTGCGTCAGACAAACCGTGCTTTCTCGAAGCTGTCAGAAACTTGGCCACTTATATAGAAGCTGATCAAGATTGCCTCGCATGCATATTCTCCGAGTTATTGGAATGTTCAATATGTAATCCAAATGTTAGAACTCAACCAGGGCCTCCTCGAACTTGTGCGTCGTTTTGTGACAGTCTTTAATTATTCTGTCAGGTGGCTTTTCTGGTTTTTGGGTGGTTTTGTTTCTGACATCATCAAACAGATTACATAACCCATTCAAATATCTGTGAATCTTAATTTTCTAATAATAGAAACATATATTGTGAAAATTCCTCAGACTAACCTTTAAGGTTAATGAAATAACAAATCTAACCTAACATATTGAAGGGCTTACTAGACTAACCTTATAAAGTTGGTTTAAGTCCATTTTATCCAGATGTTGAATATTATTACGAAAATGCCATTATGATTTTTTTTTATAAATTTTTTTTTTTCGAAAAAACTATAATTTCGAAAAAAACTTTTTAAAAAATCGAAATTTTTTTTGACGAAAAAAAAACATTTTTTTAAAACGAAAAAAGCAAAAAAAAAAAAAAACAAAACCAAAAACTAAAAAAAAAAACCCTAATTCATCTTCTTCTCTCTCTTTCTCCTGCGCCGTTTTTTTTTTCTCCCATGGAGCTGCTCTTCTTCATAACTTGGCAGCCTCCCTTTTTCGCAGCTTTCTCTTCATAGCTTTCCTTTTGTTTCACAGATCCACACAGATCTTGCCTCAATAGCCGTTCAGAAACTTGTTCAGATTTGTTTTTTTCTCATATATCCTCATTTTTCTTATTTTTTCTTCTTTCTTCTTCGTCTTCCTCTTTCCCTTCGTCTTCTACTTTCTGTTTGGCGGAGGAGGAATTTTACTGTTGGTGTTAGAGATCTCGGAAATATTGGCACGACTCTTAAGCGGCATTCTCGCCGCATCGCGCACAACCGCACTGGACAGATGTTGTTTCGAAGAAATGGTGGTGTCCCGGAGGTTGACGGCGGCGTAAGTTTTTTTCTGTAAAACCCGCAACCCTAATTTTTTTTGTTTGAGGTAAGTTTGGTAGATATATTTGGAAAACGATAAGTAGTTTGGTAGATTTATTGTATTTTTTTGTTGTAAAGTTCATAATATGTGATGGTAGATTTTTTTGAAAATGATATGTAGTTTGGTAGATTATTAGTTATTTGATGGTAGATATTTAGAAAACGAAATATGGTTTGGTAGATTTATTAGTTATTTGATGGTAAAATTATTTTAGAGTAAAAACGATGTCATTTGGTAGATTTATTAGTCATCTCATGATAGACTTATTTGTAAAAGGATGTGGTTTGGTAGATTTATTAGTCATTTAATGGTAACTTATTTGAAAAATGATTTGTGTTTGGTAGATTTATTAGTTATTTATGGTAGATTTATCAGTCGTATATATTTGAATTTTATATACGAATGACAGTATTTGTTTATTTTTTTCTGACAGATTATGGGCTTTGCCATGGTGAACAAATCTTTGATGGGATATCCAGCATCGATCCGACATGTTTTACTATGAATTGTAGATTTGCATTTGGTAGATTTGTTTTGAAATAATGGTAGATTTATTATTAAATTGATGGTATATCTGTATTTTGAATTTGTAAAAATGATAATCAGATTTTAAATGATAGTATTGTTCTTTTCAAATTATATTTGTCGTAAAACATTGACCCAGACATTTTCACATTTTTACCATATTTGCTAGTAATGTTATTATTCAATTTAATTTATTTCTTTACTTTCACTATGATGTATATCATAACTGAATAAAATTTTAATCAAAACACATGACAAAAATCATTTGACATTGTGATGTTGTAAGAGTTTATGTAAATAGAGTTAAATGTAACAAATATTCAAAAATAAAAATAAAAAAATCATAAGTTAAGAGATGGTTATTACAGATATGACATATATGTTCAAAGTTAATATGAAAAGCAAAGTTATCTTAGAGAAAATATATATCATAGAAAAAATATTCATGTTAGAAATTTTTGACCATTGATTATGGCATCTATATCGTAAATACCAATAATCATCTGTGATCGAATCACAGTTAACCGACATAATCTTAGCAAACTCATGCAAAGAAAACGTTGATGGTAACAAAACCAACTCAAATATAACCATGGAACAAGTCTACCATATGTACGAAACTTGTTTAACATACGACACTTCAAAACAAGTCTACCACACCTCTGGTTTTTTCGTAGATAGGACAATACTTTTAGGACAAAAAAGTAATTTCAATCCATAAAGTCAAATATCTGCCAAACATTAACAACTAAGTCTACCTCCAGCATGAAAAATAACTCTACCATATATACAAGTCTACCATAAGCACCTCATATGTCTACCAGATCGAGGTTATCTTTGTAAATACCAAACTTAATTAATCTACCACATGATTATTATAAGAAGTCTACCATACGTACGATAACTCTACCAGATTACATAAACTCTACCAAACAAACAAACATATCTACCAATATTCTGTAAGTCTACCTCATGTAACAAATAATCTACCACTCACCGGAATAAATTTTACTTGAATTTAAATCTATCACAAAACAAACATATATACCACAAAACAAATAAATCTACCAACATTCTGTAAGTCTACCTCATGTAACAAATAATCTACCATTCACTAGAATGAATTTTACTTGAATTTAAATCTACCACAAAACAAACATCTCTACCACAAAAGCGAAAAATCTACCAACAAGATATAACTCTACCATAAAACAGATATATCTACCATCACGTATTGACACATAAATCTACTGCCAAAGGACATAAGTCTACCAACTCAGAAAATAAATCTACTTCATTGTCAATAAATCTACCGAGAAAGTCAACTATGCGAGAAAGTCAACGCTTTCTTTAACAAGTCTACCAAAACCTTTGACAAGTCTACCATTCATAACAACAAATCTACCGAAACATAATAAACCTACCTCTCATCGTCAAAACTCTACCAAGATAAGTCGACCAACATTTGTAAACTCTACCAACTCTCGAATAAATCTACCATCGACCTAATAACTCTACCGACAAAATTTTTGCGTTGACCAAAATTTGATAAATCTACTGTCAAAGCCTGGTAAACGTATCAAATTTTCAGCGCTATAATCTGCCTACGTGGCATTAAAAAGGTAATGGCATTTTCGTAATTAGTTTTTTTTTAACAAAGGCAAAAAATGTGTTTTGGGTATGCTAAGTTAGTTTTGTAAAAAAAATAAAAGTGCGCCAAACAAATAATATAGATACTTTCTAAGGTTAGTATAGTAATCCTCCCTTCACTTATTTAAAAGCTAGAGAGTTATTGTAATAAGTGACAAAAGTGAAGGACTTTTATATAAAAATACTAGATACTTCCCATCACAAATCAACAAAAAAAATCCATTAAAAACAAAAGGAAAATTTTGAGGTCTGCAAATATCTAATTATCCTTTCTTCCCTCTTTTATTTATATACACCAATTGTTTCCTGCTTTAATGAATCAACCCCCATATTTACTTTGGTTCTTTGAAGTAAACCCCTCTTTTATGGTAATTACAATTCACCCCCTTCCATTGTATATTTTATAGGTTCGAATTCATCAGTGTGTCTTGTAAGATTAGTTTCATCACTGTGTATATTTTTTTTGTTGGCAAAATGGATTTGTTTGAGGATCCACATGTTTTTGAAGGATAGGAACAAAGATCTTATATCATCAACTTTAAATATACAAGGGAAAAGTATCTAAAAGTACACTTTATAAAAATGTCAAAAAATATAATAATTGTATCTGAAATTTCTTATGGATGTATAATTGGATGCCTTTGTTGGTTCTGCATGTTCGACTAGTTGGTAAATGGTAAGGGTGCTATGAAGCAATTTCTTGATCATGAGGAGAACATTTTGGTCATTTTGGTTACATTAGATATTTACATAAAATATGTGGATGTGGTGAGTAGCAAGAACAAAAGCAATAACGACAAAAGCATATATCGTCCCTACATTATTCATGGTGATGGTCATTTTGATTTATTTATTTTTTTGGTAAGTTTAAATGATATAGACAGAGAGAGCGAGAGAGAGAGATGCAACATTAAAAACGTGCACCAAGATATTTGTTTTCAAAACTAATTGGAATATGCTTCCTCAACGTAAGGTCAACTAGTGAATTAGCATATATCCATTGGAAAACCTTTTTTCATTTTTAAAAGGCATCAATCTTTAGTAACTTAAAGGAGAATGAGTTTGACTCTGAAGTTGCTGATTCTGCTTCTACTTGTCTTGAGATCACATCATGTTGACTCTGGCTCTGTCGTCAAGTTTCTACCTGGTTTTGAAGGCCCTCTTCCTTTTGAACTCGAAACCGGGTTTGTAAAATGTCTCTTCTTCTTTACATTAGTATTGTGAGTTTGGAGTGTTAATAATTTAGCCATTCTTATGAATGAAAGATATATTGGTCTTGGTGAGGAAGAGGAAGTGCAATTGTTCTACTATTTCATCAAATCTGAGAAGAATCCACAAGAAGACCCTCTTCTTATTTGGTTAACTGGAGGACCTGGATGCTCTTCTCTTTTTGCTCTTCTTTTTGAAAACGGTAAATCTATAACATTGAGTTATACAAAGCATTATTTTCAATGATTTATTTGAAGTGGTAAAAAGAAATTTAGGACCTCTGGCTTTGAAGTTCGAGGTTTACAATGGAAGTCTCCCTTCTTTGGTCTCTACTTCATATTCATGGACAAAGGTACGTAGCCAGAAGCTATACTTCATCATGTTAATCTCACATATCCAATTTAAAAATATTCTTGGATCATTTCTCAGATGGCGAATATAATATTCTTGGATCAGCCTGTTGGAGGTGGCTTCTCCTACTCAAAAACTCCACTTGCTAATAAAGTTAGTGACACAGGTGAAGTTAAGATTATTCATGAGTTTCTTCAAAAGGTAATAATAGACAAACTTCAATTTATCTTAGTGTGGTTTACTAGAGTGTTTTTAAGAGTGTCTAATTTTTTTGTGGGTTTTGCGCAGTGGCTAAGCAAGCATCCAGAGTTTTTCTCCAACCCTTTTTACGTGGCCGGAGATTCATATTCCGGTATGATTGTTCCGCCCCTCGTACAAGAAATCTCAAAAGGTATATATTTTTTATAATCATATCAACCAATACACTTTTATTTAGAATATCAATTTTCTATCACTCTTTAAAAATATAGACATTATGATGCAGGAAACTATCTATGTTGCAAACCTCTAATAAATCTACAGGTAATTGATATTTAATTTCTTCTTATATTATGTATCCTTATTTCTTTGCTTTATTTTTTGTTAAAGAAAAATGTATTATATGTGATGAAAAATTAAATGTATACTTTTTCGAACACTTAAGAGTTAAGATTGACAGTTATATATTTTCTTTATCAAAACAGGGTTATATTCTTGGTAACCCGATAACAGATATTGAATCAGAACGCAACTATTACATTCCATATGCTAATGGAATGGCACTAATCTCGGATGAACTCTATGAGGTATGGTATATATATGGCATTTTTATTTTTTCATTAAAGAAATTTATATATTTAACCCTTACGGTTTTTCGAAGCCTCAAATGATATGACAATGTCGAAAACTTTTATCTTTCACAGTCAATGAAAAGAATCTGCAAAGAAAATTATGAAAATGTGGATTCACGTAACACAGAATGCTTAAAACTCACTGAAATATATCATAAGGTACACATTTTGGTATGTAATTGATGTTCGGTAATCTGGTAATGTTCATCACTAACTTGGATTTCTTTTTTTTGGGTTGATTTACAGTGTACTGACAAACTAAATATATACCATATATTACTACCAGATTGCGATATGACATCTCCTGATTGCTTTGTAAGTAATTCATTTTCCCTATGCCTAGTGACTTTGACAAAAATTAAAATCGGTTAGGAGGAAAATTTAATTCTATAGGTCTTTTATTTTTTCTTTGCCACGAAGTCCCTAATTTTCATGGACCCGGAAGTAACCTTTCAACCAAATATAAAAATATGGAAAATTTAAATATAATATTTTTAGAGACAAATTCACACAACTAGTATGATGAAGTTTTATTTCTAGCAAGTTTTTGTAATTAAGTTATATATGATCAAAGTACCAGAGGTTTGACAATCTTTTTATAATACTCTTAATTATAATACAAAGAATCTAATAAAAGTTGACGGATCCTAAGTAAAGTTATGTGTAGACTAGACATATGCTTATTTTTAATAAATTACTTAAACACAAAACTGTCATTTTTACGATTTAAAAGGTTTCTATTGCAGCTATATAAGTACCTTCTCCTTAGCAAGTGGGCCAACGACGAGAGAGTTCGCGAAGTTCTTTTAGTCAATAAGGTATGTGGCAAGTTAAATTTAAGATCATTGATAGAAAAATATGTGATCATATAAATGAACTCTTAAAATCTAAAGGATACAGGTTCAAAAAAAACATTAAAGGATATGATCTATGATTACAGGGGAGTATAGGTGAATGGAGGCGATGTAATTACGATATTATTCCTTACAATTACGACATTAAAAGCACCGTACCATACCATAAGAATAATAGCATTAACGGCTTCCGATCTCTAATATACAGGTAAGATTTTAATCTATTTTTTCAAGAACTGATTGTTCCTATACATATACAAACACAAGATAGAACCGGACCGAACTAAAAACAGAAGCAACATTTGTTTACAAAATGATTAGTTTTTATTATCATCAAGGACAAAAACGAAAACCAAAAATTGAATTCAGTGTAAGCAGACCAAATCGAAAGAATAAATCCAAAATTTAGTACAACTTCATATATTTTAGTTATTCGGTTTACTTTGAATTTTTTTAATCAATATATTTTTTATTATTCAATGTCTTTGTAAATTAGCCATAGTTTTGTTTTAGATATTTATTTGATATAGTAAAAATTTTGTAACCTTTCTTATAATTTTCTTACGAATCGAAATTTTTTAAATTTGACTTTTTTAAAAAGCCGTCGAAAACAAGTATATCTGATAATTTTGGATGAATATGGACGTCAGAATTCATAGTATTTTTTTTTTGCATTTGTATTACATTTATAAAACTTTTATTAAAATCATATTTATATATTAATTATTTTTCAAAGAATCAAATCCAAACAGAAAATGAAACCAAAATTGAATTAACCAAACCAAACTACAAATGATATTTATCTAGTGTCAATTCTTATAAAACCGAAAACCGAACCAAAAAAAAAGTGAAACTAAATCGTAAACTAGATTTTCCACTCTTACCTACAAGATACGAGAGATTATAGAATTTGTGTGGTTTATGGTGTATAGTGGTGATCATGATATGGTGGTGCCTTTCATGGCAACTCAAGCCTGGATAAGATCTCTCAATTACTCCATCATTGATGACTGGAGGCCTTGGATGGTTAACGACCAAATCGCTGGGTATATTCTTTTTCATTGTTTTATGTTTTTCTTGTTCAAATATTTTCCCTTCGTATCACAAGTTCATATATAAAACTCACGTAAAATTCTTTCTTGTCTTGTTTTCTTGACAGATACACAAGAACTTATGCCAATAAGATGACATTTGCTACTGTCAAAGTAAGTCTTTTTGTATCAACGTAACAATTTTTACTATCATTGCATTACAGATGCAAGGGTTTATTAATCTTCTGAGCGTTTTGACTACAGGGAGGTGGACATACGGCAGAGTATAAACCAAACGAGACATTTATCATGTTCCAAAGGTGGATCAGTGGCCAGCCTTTGTAAAAATGAGATTTATGGCCTTTAAGTATAAAGAATAAAATATTCAACATGAAATGTTTGAAGATTATCTTGTTATCAAGGTTTATGTATCAAAAAAGGCCACACTTTTTTTTTAGACTTCTAATGTAGAAAGGTCGGTCGTGTAAACATCAATCAGGTTGGAGGGTTTTATGACTAGAACCTACTAGGTTTTTTTTTTTTTATTATTTTTTTTTTTAAGGTTGTGAGGCTTGTAAAGAAATATTTTGATCTTGAGGAGAACATTTTGGTCATTTTGGTTTAAGAGTACACTAGATTCTAACCCTGTGCATCCGCACGAGAATATTTTTTATTGTTTAACGAATTTTGTAATATAATTTATGTTTTTGAGTTTAGATATAATTATTTTTATAAATATATTTTTTAATAAGTGAAAATATTGATTTTTGTGTTTAGATATATTTTTATAGTATTAAAATTAATTATGATTATAAAAATATAATTTTAACCCGTCCGCTAATATTAATTCAAAATGAACTATTATAAAAACATAATTCTAACTTTTCCGTTCATATTATCGTATAATATAAATATTTGTTAAAAATTTGAGATGTATTAACAGTATTATTTAGCATTATAGTTTTCTAAAATTTAATCAACGAAGAGAGTGTACAACTGGTTTTTCAAACCACATTTTAGTGTATGCAATAATTTTAAATTTTTTATGTTTTTATTTTGTATAAAAAATATATTTTCGATATACATGTATAATTCAAAATTAGTGATTTTAGTTACCAAAATATTTTTAACCTGGTTTTTTTAACTTCTTTTATTAATTATAAGGAGCTACAGTAATCAGAGTGTAATACATTTGTACTAGCAAACGGAACAAAAAAATGGAAAACATAAGAACAATGAACTGGAAGAGAGGATTTCCCTAGTAGATCTGCAGCTTTGTTGTTCTCTCTGTTCGTCCATAGAAATTCAACATTCTCAAACTTTTTGCTCCATTCCCAAATCTCACGAATCCAATTATGACTGCCAAAATTAAGCGATTCCTTGTTAATGAGACTTGTCAAATTCGTGCAATCTCCTTCAAAAATGACTTGTTATAACCCTTTGACCAACAATTTTGCATAGCCATTAAAAGAGCTTGAGCTTCGCTCTCTAAAGGAGATTGTGCTGCTTTACTTTCCGTTTGTCCTGCTCTCAAGAATTTTTAACACGGTTTTTATATATATTTTTAGTTCTATAAATTTTTAAAAATACATTTTTAACATTTAAATTATACATTTGAATTTTACCTATTATTTTATTATTAATTTGTAAATAAATCATAATCGTAAATATATTATATAAGGAACATATATATCATATCATTTACATCATTATAAAATATTTTATATTTCAAATATTATTTTGCATATGTGAATTATTTTTTTTTTTAAATTTTACATATTTTTGATAAAAATGTTTAATAGTATAGAAATTATTTAAATTAGAATCTTTAAATCAATTCTGAATTATTATCTGATTTATTATTTTTAATCAAATCAAATCAAATCTAAATTACCTATATTTAAGGAACTCAAAAAATATTTTAGTTAATAACTAATTTTTGAAATTAAATATAAATAATTATTAAAATTATTTTAAATACTTAAAAAAATTAGAAGTGTTTGGAAGCAAGTACTAAATGTGCTTCTGTTTTAATATAATAGATATAAATAAAATCAATAGCGAAAAAAAGCAACGTCACTATCTTATATCTTGTCATTATTATCGGAGAGGGCCGCAACACTAAATTTAAAACGTGCACCAATAGTTACTGTCAAAACCATACGACTCTAGAGATGAAAGAGGACACTAGCTAAACGCATTTTTGCTAAACTTAATTATTAGAAAGTAAAAGAGAATGAGTTTGGCACAGAAATCTCTGCCTCTGCTGCTACTCTTCTTGAGTCATCATGTTGATTCTATCTCCATCGTCGAGTTTCTTCCTGGTTTCGAAGGTCCTCTTCCTTAAGAACTCGACACCGGGTTTGTAAAATTAACATTACTGAACCAAAATTTTATTGCCAAAACCAACCACATGACTCTCGAAATGGTTGCTCGATCCCTAATTCACACAAATCAGAACCAAGGTACTCAAGCCACTAATGAATAAGCAAAACGCTACCTATCCAGCGTGGTGGCTTTGGTAAGAATATTTATATTATTATGTGATCTATGTGTTTTTTCGGTTTAATTGTAAAGATCAAGTTCATATTAAAATTTAGGATTCTGATATAAAAGACGATACCGTGATGGATCAGTTTCGATTAAAGAGATTAGAATCTGTGTGTATTGATTACCTTCCTGCTTTATCTTTATAAGTATTCTTCTTATGTGATTATATAATATATATATATATATATATGATAGGGTACATATATATAATTAATAAAAGAAATAACTATATGAAAGGATATTAATGAACGTATGTGATTGTTGGCAAGGGTTGCTACGTGTGTGTGTTTATAAGTGATGAAAAACATCATAATTATAACAATATAAGAAAAAAACACAAAAGAAACCTGTCTTGTATCGTGAGAAAACATAAGGAGAGAGAATATTGGATTCTTTTATCCATCAAAAGGAATCATAAGGGTTTGAAGATCTGAGGAAGGAGAAAATCAAGTTGAAAATTTTCATCAGGCCAATAAGCATGTAGTATTTCTTGTTCCATAAGAAATTATTTGTGATTGAATTAAACTAAATCTAGATCATCTTAGAATTAGATTTTATAACTGAAATCATAAAGTAATTTACATATACATGCTATCAGAGCCATCCTAGATTAGTTTAATTCACCATGATTAGTAAAATCTTTTTTTATGGTTAAAACATGATCGCATGAATTCTGGTGATAGAATTTTAAGGCATCGCTGTAATTGTTATGTTGCGATGATGCCATAAAATTTGGTTAGCGGTGATTGATTTGCTGTAATTGATTTGTTGTCATGATCACATGCATATCGGCATAATTCTGGAAGTTTGCGTGCATAATTAAACGTAAGGCTGCATGCATGTATAAGGCATATTCTGGAAACATTGTCTTAGTCTTGTTGGAGAATAATCAATAATAACTGCTATGCATGAAAAGTTATATGCATGTAACCGTTTTTTGTTCATGTCGCTTTACGTATAGATGTTATTATATAGTAAAATCATAATTTCTGAAAACATCGTTAAAGTGAAGAACACAAATGCACGCGCTTTCTACGCGCCCCTTGTGTGCGATTTAGGATTTCTTTCCTTTTGCACGCCTGCGGCGGCCTCTCGCCAGCCGACAGAGAACTCTCTCCCCAGCCGACAGAGAACTCTCTCCCCTTCCTTCTCACAAAAATCTCTATGGCTGAGTCCATCGTTCTCGCTCCTTCAAATGAGTTGTCTCCGACGTTTTTCCGATTATCTCGTCTTTCGATGTTCCGACAACCACCGCTCCATCTTCTTCGGACCAAATCTCGTATTCGTCTTCGGTGCCGGCTTCAATCCCGGCCTCTTCAGCTTGTTCGTATGCAGAGCGATTCAAGTCCTCACTAAGAAATCTTCGGAAAATATCTTCACCAATCACCTACGAAAACGATATTCCAACTATCGAAGCTCCATCGTCGATACTCCTCAAGGCTGCAGACCACTGGAAAGGCCATATAGTAGCCAAATTTTCACGGTCTCACACCTCCTCCGGCAAAAATTTATGCAGACCTAAATCCAGCTTGGGGAAAGTTTGGTAACATCTCGATTAGATGTGTGTCGAGATTTAGTTGCTTGATCTTCATCCCCTATCTCCAAACGCGGGAATGGGTTCTGCGCACAGGCTACTGGCAGGCTGGGAACTGTTCCTTCACGGTTTCCCCTTGGTCGCCAGACGGAAGCTTCCAACCTCACGACCTCGAAACAGCCCCAACTTGGGTCGTGTTGAAAGATATCCCTTCTCTATTGTACTCGCTGGATGGCATTAGCGTGATTGCAAGTGCAATCGGGGAACCACTTCATACTGAGAAATCCAAACTTGATCCTTTATTACCGGCGACACAAAAGTGAAGGTTGAGATAAGCCTTGACAGCTCTCCTTCAGATACCATCATCGTCAAGGATTGTGTGCGAAATTCAGTTCGAGTACACGCGGAATACCCCCGGCTTCCACCGAAATGCTGCAACTGTGGCAAATTTGAACTTCTATTAAATAGATGCCCGCATCCACTGTTGAAGAAGCCGTTTGTGACCATCCCTCAGAAGAGAGTTGCGCACACAACCACAAAAATTCATCTGGATTCGGAATCTAAGGCTGACATTAGTATCATCACTGACCAAGTTAGAGTGGAAAGCGTCCCAGTGGAGAATGATAGAGCCGTTCCCATCAGAGTCTCTGCACCTCGTGCCCGATCCAGGTCACGCCCCCGAGGACGTAGCTCTCCTCCTCCAATATCTCCACATGATTCACCTGATATCTTGACCTCCAAGCCCCAGATCAAAGTGGTGGGATCTCAGAGTGTCTCTCTAGGCGCACTGTTGTCTTCCTCCACCCCAACTGTGGAAGCAACTCTCCCATCTTCTTGTCTACCTGAGAGCCCTCCAGCGATCCTCTCTGATCCTCCAGAGATCCTCTCTGATCCTCCAGAGAATAATTGGGTGAAGGTAGTTTCTGTTAGAGCAAGGAAGAAAGTATCTGCTCGCAGCTTAACAGCAAAATTAAAGCTGGCAAAGAAGCATAAGATGTATGCTGCAAAGGGAGACATTTATAAGGCTATGGTCGCTTCTACTAAGGGTTCATCTCGCTCTACTCGGGGGGTCTTCTTCGGGTGGTGGAGCCAATCTCTGAAAGCCCTGCTTTCCCCCTCTTTTGGTGTATATAATGAAGATTTTTTCTTGGAATATCAGAGGATTGAACAGCTCCTCTCGTCAAAGATTTGTTAGGAATTGGGTTACTGCTAACAAGCCTCTCGTTGGTGGTATCTTAGAGACTCATGTACAGGAATCTAACATGTCCTCAGCTTTAGCCTCCACCTTTCCTGGCTGGAGAATAGAGTCTAATTATTCTTTTGAAGACAACAGTAGAATATGGTTAGTTTGGGATTCTGCCATATCAGTCATCACCTTCTGCAAGACGGATCAATATATTTTATGCGCTATTTTTGATCCAGTTTCAAAGGAGTCCTTCAATGCTGCATTTATCTATGCTCGAAACACGGAAACCAAAAGAAGAACTCTCTGGGAAGATATTACCCACATCCGATCGAGTTCCCCAATCAGATCTTCCCCATGGAT